CATCATCATCATCATCATCAACATCATCATCATCATCATCATCATCGTCAGCATAATGATCACCATCAGCATCATCAGCCAGACCACCATCCTCATCGGCATCAACAGTTTGCCCATAGTCGTAGTCATCGTCATCCTCATCAGCAGTCACATGGTCATGATCATCACCATCATCAGCAAACTGATCATGCGCATGGGCATCAACATCGTCATCAACATCATCACAATCGTCGTCACCACCATCACTGTCATCACATACATCACAACCAGCACGATCATCATCACCGCAACTATAACCACCACCATCCCCATCATCATCAGGAGGAGGAGGAGAGGGCGGAGGGGGAGGAGGAGGAGGAGGAGCAGGAGGAGAGAGGAGGAAGGAGGGAGGAGGAAAGAGGGAGGGAGGAGGGAGGAATCGGAGGAGGGAGGAGAGAGGAATTGGAGGAGCAGGGAGGAGGAGGAGAAGGAGGAGACGGAGGAGGAGGAGGAGTGTGGGTGGCAACATCCAGAGTCAGCGTCAGGAGATGGTCAGCAATTTGAAGGGATATCAACGTGACCGCCATGAGTATGTCATTATGTCGCATGCCGCAACGCAATGGATGGGCTGATCGTAATGTCGGCAAACAGTACTGCAGCGCATGCGGCACCAAGTTCCAGGGTTGGGGTACAGGGAAGGGCGACGGCCAGCATGACCAGAGGCCGCCCCCGCCAGCAGGAGTCAACAGGTGGAAGGGACAGTCTGCTACCGAGGGAATTCGCCCTCGGAGTGGAATTGGAGCAGGCAAGACAGCACCATCGGATCTCCCGGTGCAAGAACAGGCGGCGAGTTCAGAAGCTGTCGGACCCGACCCAGGTCAGACGGCACAGGACCGTGTCCAGTGCTGAAAGGAGCGCGAGGACACCACCGGCGCCCACTGCTTGAAAGCAGTACGGAAGCTCAAGGCCGCGAAGCAGGAGTCGCTTTCGGGCAAGCCGTTGGAGCAGCAGGCACAATCACTTCGCGATCAGATGTCCCAGACAAGAAACAGGATGAAGACGTAATCTGAATCAGCCGAGGAGAAGCTCGCACAGATTACTGTCTCGGCAGAGAAGTGCGCCGACTACGGGACAACCTCATCAACTCCAAGACGGAGATTGAGCAGCTGGAGGCCCCGCTGGCAGTCACAATGGATTCAGTCGCGGCTATAGTATCGAAGCCAGCTAGCACACCTACGCCATTCCCGTCTCTCAGCCAGCTCGGCAGCCAGCTCTAAGCAGGGCCAGTCACAAACGTATCAGACCACATCCAGCAGCAGATCGCCACTCTCGAGACCAGCATCAGCCAGGCGATCCAAAGTCGACGTGGTACAAAGGCAGCAGGCACTCAGCCTAGTGCGCAGCAGCCAGCGCAGGTGACCGCAGGAGCTCGGGGGACACTGGTGGCAGCGGGTCCTGCGAGCCAGTCGACGCTATCGCCATCGCCTATACCAGCTAAGCCCTCACCCCAGATCTCGGCCGAGGAGGAGGAGGAGGCGGCGAGGACGGCCCTTGACGACACCAGGGAGGATCCCAACAAGCGCAGACAACGCAGCGAGGACGACGGCCTCCAGCAGGCCATGGCGACCCATCCCGACGGTCGACGAGTCAGCCAAGAAGGCCAAGTTGGCACTTCTTGCAGCGCAGGCTTCGACGCTTGCAGAATCCGAATCCACGAGGAAGGATGCAACTCCATTGTGGGGGGTAACACCAAAACGATGAACATCCTCACAGACAACGGCAGCTGCTGGAACTCCATCCAGAAGCTAATCACTTCAGAGGAAGTATCGTCGGCAGGAGTGACTCTTGGCCAAGAGGTCAAGCTCAGAGGCGAGAAAGTCGCGCAGGCCATCTCTTGGTGCGAAGCCCGTGATTGAAATGCAGTCATCTCGGATTGCGATTGCGACCCCAGCGAGCTCAACTACCCGAACGAAGAGCAGCACGTGCATCCTCATCGAGAAGGGGATGAGCATCGGCATTCAGCCAGCCCCCGTCCACCATACATCTCAAGCAGCAGGGCATCGGCAGCCAGCCCCGAGCTGCCAGGTCACAAGACCACCGTTTTTCTCTCAATGTACGTTGAGGTCTCAGAGGGCCTCAACAGCACGAACTCACATCTACTCGCGACGGCGGGATGGTGCCAGCAGAAGTATCGCATGCCAGCCTCTGAAGCAGTTGACTCTAACATGCCGTAGTCAGTCACGAAGAGATCAGGGTTTCTAGAAAGGGCAAGTCTGGAGTTGGTGCGCCCGGCAAGGTATACCTTTGTTTCGCCAGCAAGATCCGCAGCAACACCGATTATTGCATGATGAAATCGTGCCTCAAAGTTCGGTGCAGGCGATCGATGTGCTGAAGCAGTACCCGCTCTCGCCCCACCGCCCAGTCAAGCTCACCCTCGCAATAGGCTCCGAGCTGATGAGTCCCTGGAGCTCCCCACCAGGCACCCTGTAGGACCAACTTTAGAAGCGTTACCTTGGAGCCAAACTGCAGCAGCATTAGACCCCTTGGAACAGATCCCGGGGACAGACCTTCCTTTACTGCAATGCAGCAGAAAGTTGCCCTCGACCGAGCGTATGAATGCATGGCTTTGGAAATGGGAGTTTCCATCAGCAACGACCAATCCCCCCCTCGGCAACCCTGGCAACATATGTGGCCCTCCAAAGCTGATCTGCGTGTCTGAAAAAAAAAAGCCAAAGCCAACACCGAGCCGAGTAGAAGTCTTTTTGGAGGCCTAGTAGACTGCGAGTCAACGAGATTCTAGAGTTGCAGCGCACAGTGCCCGTCAAGGACGAGGATGCGCTCACTGATCTGTTGCAGGTGCGATCGGACCCACGGGCAGAGTTTCAAGAGTCGGATGAGCTGAGCAGCATGCTCGGCAACATCCGCAGCCTCGCAGAGGCACTCCAGCAGGACGTCAATGCCCAAGAGAAGCAAGGCTTCACGAACTAAGCTAAGGATATCTTTCGGGAGCATGACGCGAACTAGTTCTAACAGTCCTGGATCCAGTAAAACTTCTCGAGTCCCAGACGGCCAGCAACTCTTGGAAGCAATGGGTGAAGGATGTAATGGCGTCTGGGGTTGGGATGGGCCCAGGGACGGTCCACGAATAAACAGCACCGGAGACCCGGCCAGGTCAAAAAGCTGATAGCGATTTCTCTGGTTGCCCTGCCGAGCTGCTGCACGCAAAGTCCGCCGCCTCACGAGGGGACCTTGACTCCCAGGGGGGCACACTCGGGAGAAGTTTGCCAGCGATCCCCGTGCCGCTGATGACCTACCTCTAATCACCCCTCTCCTCCTCCTCCTCCTCCTCCTCCTCCTCCTCCTTCTCCTCCGTCCTCCTCCGTCCTCCTCCTCCTCCTCTTCCTCCTCCGTCCTCCTCCTCCTCCTCCCTCCTCCTCCTCCTCCTCCTCCTCCTCCTCCTCCTCCAGATGTTGCGTAGAGCAGTCAACAAACTCAGCCATGCCACGGCAGAGACGCGGGGCGGAACCCGCACGAGGCAATCTGCACTGCTCTCCGCCCAGCAAGCAAAAGAGCCGGCGTGCAGACGCCTGTCCACTGGTGGAACGAGCGGGCAGCACGCCATCGCAGCTGCGGGCCGCGATCCCAGCGCTGACCCCGAAGCACGCACAGTCGGGACGTGTGCCAGCACAGAACACATGCGAAGATCGGAGGAAGGGCAAGGATTTTGAAGGGAAGGTGTCAGCCGTCCTTGAGACTGATGCCAAGTATGTATGAGACCTGGGCAAGTGTACGGCGGGAGAAGGAGAGGAAACGGGAGAGAGGAGTCACAGGCGCAGCTGCTTTGGCCCACCCGTCTGGCAGGATCTCAACTCGAGTTAGTCTACCAGCAGGCGCTGCAGGCAGAGAGCGGCGCAGTCCAGGACACCTCCCTCCACGCCGCCTCCATCACGCGGAATCGTACCAATGAACAAGTCGATAGAGTAGGTCTTCTTCTTTGAGAGTGAACGCATTGAATTCTGGCGTTGATGGAGCAATGCGATCTGTCATTCATAAGAAGCACCAACGTCAACCTTTCTATACTCTTAAATCAAGCCTCCCTCGCAGGCTTCCTCCTCTTTGGCATACCAGCAGGGTGCAGTGCCGTAACTTTTTTCTTGGTGCAGATGTACTGCACAGCTCCGCTCGACGTCTGGACGTTGAATGTGCAGTTATCGCTTCACACGTTTATCGATGACCAGGTGCTGCGTTGCACCCCTGAGTACAAAGACGCAATCGTCAAGCAATTGCGCCACTCTGCCATCAAACTTCCAGCAGCCATCCGTGTCGAGCTGAAGTGCGAGATTACAGTATCTAAGTCGGCCGCCTTGGGACCCCCCAGAGAGACATCCAGAAGACACTCGCCAAAAGCATTGGAAAGTATTCGGGACCAACTCCGTCCCTCGCTGCACATCTAGGAGTGGATTTTAGAGCGGGGTAAAAGAGGGGGACAACATCAGCAGCACGAAGCTCAGAGACAGGTACACGAAGCTAAAAGAACGGGTTCCCAAGGTGAGAGCCCTACACAGAGAGAGGGGCCGACGCACCAAAATTGTACAACACGGGTTTGGGTTCTGAGGTTGTCGGGCTGGGCGGCTGGATGACGTCGACTTGAAATCAGCCCGCAGGTTGTCTCTACAGACAGCAGGTCGTACTACGAGGTCATCTGCCCTAGCCCTATGCCTTCGGGGGGGGTCCCGGCTGGAGGCCTGGAGTGGGCCCGATCCTTCTGTGGGCTGCACTCTACACTTGGCCTGCGAACCATGGCAGCAGCAGCAGCAGTTATCAATTCACCGACAGCCAGATGGGGTCACTGTCGCGGCCCTTTCGGAGCAGCCATCTCGAGTGCGAAGAGAGGGATGGAGTTTCGCCGGTCCGCTCGTCACGGCAGATCAGCACGAGCAGCAACACATCCTCACCTCAACTTCGCCAGCGCTGCTCCAGTACTGGCTTCAGGCGGCTTGGTCTCAGCAGTTGTGTCGTCAGGCGTCTACAAAGCTCGGCATGGAAGGCCAACTCGACCCAACCGTCGCGCAGGAAGTTGCAAGGCACCCCTCCTCTCGGACTCTGAGAAAGTCACCCTCAAAACCTTCCTCACCCAAGGAGTTTGGACTAAGCCGTGCTCGCAACCTCAGTGTGAATGTAGACACCCTCGGGATGACCTACTTCATAGACTAGTGAGTTGCCCCAAGACTGAGACCTTGCGTGAAGATTGTTGTTCCTCCCTCCTCCTCCTCCTCCTCCTCCTCCTCCTCCTCCTCCTCGTCTTCCTCCTCTCCTTGTCCTCCTCCTCCTCCTCCTCCTCCTCCTCCTCCTTCTCCTTCTCCTCCTCCTCCTCCCTCCCCGTTCCTCCCCTCCTCCCCTGCCTCCCGTGGCGCGCCTCCCCGCTCGTGGCGATGTAGGCGCAGGCCAGCGCGTAGACCTGGGAGTTCTGCCTCAGCTCCAGGTACCCGTAGTCGTCCACGTCAAAGTAGCCCTCGACCGCGCTGGCCTCGGCGCTTCCCGCATCCCTTATCATTACCATCGTCCTGCATCTCTCTGGCCCTTCTCGCCCTTATCCGTATGATTAGTGAGCTCCTCCATCCTCGTCGTCCCCCTCTTCATAGTGAGCATCATCAGCGGCAGCAACCGCCGCAGCACCATCATGCAGATATATTTCTCTATCGGTATACATATGTGTATCGGAAGTGAGGAAGCGAGATCGAAGTGGAACGGAGAGCCCCCCTACCGGGAAATCGATTTCGGTTTCGTGTTCGTGCGTGCCGTGCGTGCGGGCGAGGCGAAGCTGCGCGGGCGGGCGAGAGGAAAGTCTCCTGTGGCTGAGGCGCGGCCGGACCAAAAAACTCCCTTCCGGCAAACGGTGCCGCGCAGGTGTCCCGCCGGTGTCCCGCTGGCGTCCCGTGTGGCTGAGGCGCGGCCGGACCAAAACACTCCCTTCCGGCAAACGGTGCCGCGCCGGTGTCCCGCCGGTGTCCCGCTGGTGTCCCGCTGGAATCCCGTCGGTGTCCCGTCGGTGTCCCGTCGTGAGATCGATAGTGAAATCAATCGTGAGATCAATAGTGAAATCGAAAAGGAGATCGATAGTGAGATCGGTAGTGAGATCGATCGTGAGATCGATAATGATATAGATAGTGAGGCCGAATGTGAGATCGATTGTGACATCGATAGTGAGATCGATAGTGAGATCGATCGTGAGATCGATCGTGAGATCGAAAAAGATATCGATAGTCAGATCGATAGTGATATCGATAGTATTATCGATAGTGAGACCGAATGTGAGATCGATTGTGAGATCGATGGTGAGACCGAATGTGAGATCGATTGTGATACCGATTGTGATACCGATAGTGAGATCGATCGTGAAACGGAATGTGAGATCGATTGAGATCGATAGTGAGATCGATTGTGAGATCGATCATCAAATCGATTGTGAGATCGATCGAATAAGATTGATAATGACATCGATAGTGAGATCGATCGGGAGAACGAATGTGAGATCGATTGTGATATCGATAGTGATATCGATAGTGAGACCGAATGTGAGATCGATTGTGAAATCGATAGTGAGACCGAATGTGAGATCGATGGTAAGATCGATTGTGATATCGATAGTGAGATCGATAGTGAGACCGAATGTGAGATCAATCATGAGATCGCTCGTGAGTTCGATAGTGAGATCGATAGTGAGACCGAATGTGAGATAGATTGGGGCATCTGTAGTGAGATCGATAGTGAGACCGAATGTGAGATTGTTAGTGAGATCGATAGTGAGTTCGATCGTGAGATCGATAGTCAGAGCGATTGTGAGATCGATCGATTGAGATCGATGATGAGATCGATAGTGAGTTCGATAGTGGGATTAATCAAATACGACGTTGGTCCCTCCCCCCCCTCACCTCCTTATCACCCGAAGGGTGGTCGTATAGGTGCACATTTATGTATCACTCTCTCTCTCTCTCTCTCTCTCTCCGTCCCTCTCAGTGTTTCTCTCTCTCTCTCTCGCGCGCGCGTTCTCTCGCATTCTCTCTCTCTCTCTCGTTCTCTCCCTTCGTATTATCCTGCACCGTATAGCCAAGGTTCAGGTCATGCGTACTCGTATGCCCCCCTTCTCCTCCTCATCCTGCTCTCCCGTCCCCATCTTCATCCTCATCCTCAACCTTCCCCTCTTCCGTTCTCGGTTTCTTCCCCTTGATCCTGGTCCCCGTCCGTCTAGAGACGCCTTCTCCTCCTCCTCATCCTCCTCCTCCGCTTCATCCGTCTCCGAATCCTCCCGCCCTCCTGCCCGTAGCCATTTTGGCTCAAGATGCCTTGTTCCGCAGGGGGGAACACGTGGATACCGCTAGTCCGCGGCTTGCAATCGAGTGTTTTCTGGCCCGATCAGCTGCCCTGGTCGGTGCCTGCAGTCTGCTTTGGTGAGCTCCTGCAGGAGCACTTTCCCCTCTGCTGTCAGGCGTCGAGAGCTATGGCTTGGCGGTATCGCACTCCGTGGCGTGCTGTGGCTGGCCGTGGCCGGCGTGATGGTGGCGCTCGCGGCGACGATGGTGGTGGGCGCCAACGCCGTGGAGGAGGTGGCTACTCCGTGTGCGCTGCCTGCGGCCACTGGGAGTACGACCGATACGGGAACTGGTGCTGCTCGAAGTGTGGAGGCAGTTACCTGGCGAGCGGCGCTGCTCCCGCGGCAGGCGGCAGTGCGCAGGCTGGTGCAGGGCAAGAGGCTGGCCTCGCCAAGCAGCTCAGCTACCTTGCCGCCCTGCACCCCTCCATCGCCGCGACGCTGCAGGCTGCCATTGCAGAGGCGGCTGCAGCTGATGCTCAGGCAGCTGCACCGCCAGAGCCCGTCAGTGCGAACGAGCTGGAGAAGAAGGTGGCGGCACGCCAGACGGAGCTGTCGAAGGAGGTCGAGAAGGCGGCGCGGGCAGAGCGCATCGCCCAGGCTGAGGTCGAAGCACGTCTGGCAGCTGCTGTCAAACATCGTGAAGCCCTTCAGCAGGCGGAGGCTGCACATGCCTCGGCTGTGGGTTGGCTGGCCCAGTGCCAACAGGAGACGAGAGCTGCGCAGGAGACCAAGCAGTTGTTCTCCGCTGAGGCCTACCGTGAAGAGTGCAGGCGCGAGGAGCGCCGCCAGGCCGATGCCGCGGCTGCAGCACGGCGACGCGCGGCGGCTGCTGCTCCTGCGGGCGCGGCTGCGCCTGGTGGGGCGGGCGCGCCTTGGGCTCCGCCTGCGCCAGGCCCTCAGCCGCCTGCGCAGGTGCGTGTACATGCTGCTGACGCTGGTCTTCGTGGGGAAGTTGCTGGATCGGGTGCGCTGCCACAGCCGCCGCCCAACTTCACGAGCATGGGTGAGCCAGAACTTCGTGCGTGGTGCCAGCTACATGATCAGCAGTGCCAGTTCTGGCATGCGGCGCAGCAGATGCGTGTCGCACTTGAGCGTGATGATGATGAGTTGTCTGATGTTGCCTCTGATTTGGGCACAGATCGTCTCGATGAACTACGTGAACTCAAGAAGCGAGCCATCGAACAGCCCTTGCAGGAGGCTGAGCGAGATCGGCTTGAGGAGCTGCTCAGCAAGCAAGCTAACCAGAAGGCCGCCAAGCGTGCTCGTGTGGTGCGGTCCGATGCGACGGCGACCTTCAACCGCATGCTGCAGCAGTTCCAGCCTCGAGTGGGAGCTGTACCAGATGGAGATCATGGGCCCGCAGCTGCGGGAGGACCAGGAGCTGGCGCTGCAGGTGAACGAGTGTCTTCTTCCTAGCACAGATCGAGGTGAAGGTCGAGGCGCTGGAGGCGGCGTGAGGCCTAGCAGGCCCCTGAGCCGCCACCGCCTGCAGCCAGCGCCAAATACATTCGAATTCCTGTTCTGCAATATCACGAGTTGGAACGCGGTTTCACTGCCTTTTGCACAGGAAATGAAACCGATTTGCGATGGATTATTGGTTTTGCGAGCATCGTAAACTCACCGATGCCTGTAGTCTTGCTAAGCGGAAGTGTAATCAGAGGAGGTGGAGGCCCCACTTCATCCTTGCCACCCGCTCCCCTGGAGGGGGCCTGCACCATGGGGGAGTAGGGGCCGTAGTGAGTAGAGGTTTTTGTTTCAGGCGTTTCCTGGCTTCGGATTCGTCCCCCCTGGACCAGGGCTCTGGAAGCCACTGGCTGCTTTTGCAGCTTAAAACCCAGCAATACGTTCTTGCTGTAGGAGTGTGCTACTTAGATGTGTTTTGTCTGGTGTAGAAGTGTATTTAAATCAGGCTGCGGACCGCATTGCTGACTGGGCTGTTGAGAAGGCCCAGTTAAGTGAGGATCACGTTTCCCTTATCGTGCGGGCGGATGAGCTTGCCGTGCAAGTGTTAAAAAGGATCCTGGCCGTGCAGCGTGAAGTTTTGTTTTCCTCGGAGCGTGAGAAGAGTGGTCTCCGTGAGCCGCGGCGAACTCGCGGGGTCGTCTCTTCTCTGTCCGAACGGATTTGCAGGTTGAGAGATGCGGGCCATGAGCCCGCTGTGCATAAGGCTTGCATCAAGTGCAGGCAGTGTGGACTGAGGTTTAGCTTGAGAGGCCAGCTGGCTAGCTTCTGGCCCACACAGTGTAAGCCTCGGTGTATCATCCAGCAGCGAGTCCAGCTGCTTGCGCCGCGGGAGGCGAGGGGTGACACGGGCGTGGACCCCGCCCCTGATGCCCTGGGGCCGTCGGGCTCGTGTGGGGAAGCCCTGGATCACCCCTTGGCCGACCGCTGTCACCCCTCCCACCGACTGGCGGCGCAGCGAGGTGTTCTGGTTTGCACTGTCTGTGGAGGTTTTTGCACAATTGCTCCTCCACGCATCCTGAATCGAGTGTGCGGGGACCAAGCCCGAGGGCCATGCCCCTCGAAGGCAGGGCGCGAGGTGCTGTCGCGCCTGTCCAGGGGGTTGCCACCAACGTCGGACACCGCTTTCCCAGATTTGGCGTGAATGTGAAGGAGCGGCCTGCCTAGAGCAGGACCCCCGCCTTAGATAGAATTAGACTTAGAATTATTATCCCGCCCTCCTGCCTCATGGTCTTTCTCCCCCTCGTCCTCCTCCTCCTCCTCCTCCTCCTCATCCTCCTCCTCCTCCTCATATGTGCTTTCTTCCTCGTCCTTCTCCTTCTCGTCCCCCTCCTCCTCCTCCTCCACCTCCTCCTCCTTTTCCATCACCATCGTTCCTTTCACGTCCATCTCCGTCTCATTCTCCTCCTCCTCTTCCTCATCCTGCTCATCGCCGTCATAATCAGATTCACCACTATCATCGTCATCATCATCATCGTCCGCAGCAGCCGTATCCTCATCCTCATCCTCATCCTCATCCTCATCCTCGTCCTTATCATCATCATCATCAGCATCATCAGCATCATCATCATCATCATCATCATCATTATCATCATCGTCATCATCATCATCATCATCATCATCATCATCATCATCATCATCATCCTGATCATCATCATCACCATCAGCATCATCATCAGCATCCTCATCAACATCATCAGCATCAGCATCAGCATCATCAGCATCATCATCATGATCAACATCATCACCACCATCAGCATCATTATCAGCATACTCATCATCGCCGGCCGCGTCCGTATCATCACCATCATCTACACCAGCATCACCAGCATCACCACCAGCATCCGCATCATCGTCGTCGTCAGCATCATCACCATTACCATCACCCTCATCCTCATCGTCACACTCATCATCATCATCATCATCATCATCATCATCATCATCATCATCATCATCATCATCGTCACCCCCACCCTCACCAGCACCCTCTTCATCAGCAGCATTAGCATCACCATCGTCATCACCATCCTCATCGTCATGATCAGCATCATCATCATCGTCATCATCATCATCATCATCATCATCAGCAGCAGCATCGTCATCATCGTCACCATCATGATAATCATCATAATCGTTGACAGCATCATCAACCGCATCATCTTCATCACCATCATCAGCATCAGCAATATTGTCATCGCCATCGTCACCATCATAAGCATCATTCTGGACATCAACATCATCATCATCAGCAACAACACGAACAGCATCATCATCGTCGGAATCAGCATGATCAAGGTCATGATCATCATCACCATCATTAACAACAACCTTAACAGCATCGTCACCATCCTCATCCACCTTACCATCAGCCTCACCATCATCATCATCATCATCATCATCATCATCATCATCATCATAATCATCAGTATATTGATCATCATTATCATCAGCATCAGCACCATACTCATCATCAGCATCAACAGCAGCATCGTCGTCGTCGCGATCAGCACCGTCCACATCATCGCAACCTTCACCATGATCATCATCATCATCATCATCATCAGCATCATCGTCGTCGTCGTCATCGTCGTCGTCATCATCCTCACCATCACCATCACCATCCTCGTCATCATCAGCAGCATCGTCGTCATCAGCATCGTCGCTAGTCAGCATCATTACCAGCATCATTACCATCACCATCATCATATTCATCACCATCAACATCCTCATCCTCATCCTCATCCTCATCCTCATCCTCATCCTCATCATCCTCAGCATCTTCATCAGCATCGTCATCAGCATCACCATCATCACAACCACCACCACCATCATCATCATCATCAGCATCAGCATCACCATCACCATCATCATCCTCATCCTGATCCTCATCCTCGTCCTCACCCGCATCCTGAGCATCAGCATCATCATCATCAGCATCATCATCACCATCACCATCATTATCACCATCGTCATCGCAATTATCGCCACCATTATCATCACCACCATCATCATCATCACCACCATCATCATCATCATCAGCATCAGCATCAGCAGCAGCATCACCATCATCCTCATCCTCATCCTCATCCTCACCCGCATCCTCAGCATCATGTTCATCATCAACATCATCATCACCATCACCATCACCATCATCATCATCATCATCATCCTCATCATCATCATCATCATCATCATCATCATCATCATCATCGTCATCGTCATTATCACCACCATCATCATCATCACCACCATCATCATCACCACCACCATCATCCTCCTCATCATCATGATCATCCTCCCCATCATCATCCTCATCATCATCCGTGGGCGGCGGAGTCGGCCCTCGCCCCGAGCGTAGGGGGAGGAGAAACGACACAGGCTTACGAGGTCTGCGCGTACACCTCTCGGGGTCGGCGCTGGAGGCCATGGCATGGGGAGGGCTCGAAGGGCTCGGACCTCGGCGGATCGAGTCGGACTTCGACCGCCGCCGCGCACCGCATTCGCGCGAGCGGCGCGCCGCAGGGGCGCGGCCGCCAGAAGGTGCAGAAATTCCACACTGGGCGGTGAGGGCGCCTCGCTCGTCAGGCGGCGGTGTTAGCGGGCGGCCGCAGACGCCTCGCTCGGCGTCGCGTGGGGACCCTGCGCTCGGCCCCTCTCGTCCTGCGCATCCTGCGCCTCGGAGAAGAAAACAAACGGCGCAAGGATGTCTGGTCGGAAGCCGGGCAAGGGCTGCTAACTCCGTGGCTGCTAAAATCGACCTCCGGGAAGGTGTCTACGCCCTTCCGGGAAGACGCCCGTGGACTGCTTCGCGTGCTGCGCCTCCTTCCGGGAAGCTGCTTTTCCCTTCCGGGGGGGCCGTTCTAGCAGCCACGGCTTGAGCAGCCCTCGCCCACCTCTTGATCCTCCTTCTCCTCCTCCTTCTCCTCCTCCTCCTCCCCCTCCTCCTCCTCCTCCTCCTCCTCCTCCTCCTCCTCCTCCTCCTCCTCCTCCTCCTCCTCCTCCTCCTCCTCCTCTCCTCCTCCTCCTCCTCTCCTCCTCCTCCTCGTCCTCGTCCTCCCTCGTCCTCGTCCTCGTCTCCTCCTCCTCCTCCTCCTCCTCCTCGTCCTCGTCCTCCTCCTCCTCCTCCTCCTCCTCCTCCTCCTCCTCCTCCTCCTCCTCCTCCGCTCCTCCTCTCCTCCTCTCCTCCTCCTCCTCCTCCTCCTCCTCCTCCTCCTCCCTCCTCCTCCTCCTCCTCCTCCTCCTCCTCCTCCTCCTCCTCCTCCTCCTCCTCCTCCTCTCTCCTCCTCCTCCTCCTCCTCCTCCTCGCGCGGATTCCTTGGATCGGTGCGGGGGGCCCCTCCCTCGCGCACGGGGCGCGCCGTGAGCGGTGCCCGAGGCGCCGCCCTGGGGGCCCCAGCGCGGGCTCTGCGCGCGCCGCTCCTGGCGCGCGCGCGCGCCGCGAGGGCTCCCCAGCGCCGATCCAAGAAATCCGCGCGAGGAGGAGGAGGGGGAGGAGGAGGGGAGGAGGGGGGAGGGGGAGGGGGAGGGGGAGGAGGAGGGGAGGAGGAGGAGGAGGAGGAGAGAGGAGGAGGAGGAGGAGGAGAGGAGGAGGAGGAGGAGGAGGAGGAGAGGAGGAGGAGGAGGAGGAGGGGAGGAGGAGGAGGGAGGAGGAGGGGGAGGAGGAGGAGGAGGAGGAGGAGGAGGAGGAGGAGGCTCTGCCGTCGCTTCTTCCCCCCGCGCCGCTTCGTCGCCGCGGGCCCCCGTGGCGGCTGAGGCGCGGGCCGAGAACGGCAGCGTCTGCGTCACGTGCGCCGACAGCGCTCGCAGGCGTGCGCCGGCCCTGGCCCCGACGGGGCGCGCGTCCTCGGCTATCGTGCTGCCGTCTCCGCCGCCGTCGCCTTCGCCGCCGCAACTTGTTCGCGCTGGGCGCCTTTGCACAGGTTTCGGGCCCTCGGACCGTCACAGATCGATCCAGCTCAAAAGATTGTGCATAAAGATGGGATCTAGGGCTCTGCTCGTGAATTTCCATGATGCGGATGTTCTTCACCGGTTTCTGGAGCGCCGCCGCCGTCTTTCCCCTCCTCTTCCTCCTCCTCCTCCTCCTCCTCCTCCTCCACTTCCTCCCTCCTCCCACCTCCCTCCCTCCCTTCTCCTCCTCCTCCTCCTCCTCCTCCTCCTCCTCATTATTATCCTCCTCCTCCTCCTCCTCCTCCTCCTCCTCCTCCTCCTCCTCCTCCTCCTCCTCCTCCTCCTCATTGTCCTCCTCCTCCTCAGCCATCCGCCTCATCCTCCTCATCCTCATCATCCTCCTTCTCATCCTCCTCCTTGACCCAAGATCTTCCTCCTCCACCTCCTCCACCACCTCCTCCTCCTACTCCACGCTCCTCCTCTGTTCTGCTCCTCCCTCCTCCTCCTCCTCCTCCTCCTCCTCCTCCTCCTCCTCCTCCTACCACCTTTCTCCCTCCGCCATCGTCAAAGTGCTTAGTACTGAGTTTCCCACGCAGGCCCGCGTCTGAGACGGGAGGCAGCTGCACTTGAAGTACATACGATGCCAAGCAACGATGAATGACCGATGCTCATGGCTTCAAGACCGTGCAGAGTGCCTGCTCCCCCACGCCGTCCTGCCGCTGGTGCTTCCATTGGCAGCCCTGCGCGGAGACTGTCATGGGCGCCTCGTCGATACAAGTCACAAGAGGGTCAGGGAAAAGGGCGGAGGACAAGTGTGAACCCAAGACCAATCGACGATGCTACAATGAACCCTACCTCAAAGTTCCCTCTTCATATGCTCCTAAACGGATCGACTCTCACTTCGGGAAGGGGCCCATTGGAAGACAACTGTACGAAACAATTGAACGTGCCAAACCAACATTCCTGGGTCTTCAACGCCGCGAATCATAGTTACGACTGCGACGTGACGGTCCAAAGTAGTGCCAGAACATCACGTGATGGGCGTCAACCATACGAAGTCGTGAAACTGCTGTAAACTGTCAAGGCGATTGTGCGCGGCGCTAGAGCGAGAGCCAGATTTTGAAAAGGAACCGCCCTCCATCCGTGAAATTCTGCAAACGTTTAAAACGAAATGCACGCGGCGCTACGGTGAGAACCACATTTACCGCCCGTCCCCCCTCCGTGAAACTGCTGCAAGCGTCAAGCGTCAGGATCACACATTTGGCGGAAAGTCTCAGGCGAAACGCCTGGCCCGCGCTATACCGACCCGTCTCGGGGTGCGACAGGGAAGAATTGTTTGTAAGGGAGAGGAATGGACGAGGAGGAGGAGGAGGAGCAGCAGCACCAGCAGCATGATGAGACGGAGAGGCGGAAAGGGCCCGGTGGCACGCTGCTTCCCGCCTTGGGGCGGCTCGTGAGGGAACAACAGATACTGGAACCGCCAATGCCTGGCCCTCTCTGGGGCGCGTTCTGACGAGGGTCTCGAAGCAACTCCGGCCGTGACGACGAGTGAAGGGCGGCGGTATCGGTAGCATGTCCTTCTCTGAGCTCAGAGGGTTCGGGGATCGTTCTGGAGGCCTTCCTGGCGCCACTCGCTCCACTCATAATCCGATGCTGCGCCGAACGTCTGTTGACTTGAATCTAACTTGAGCCGAACTCGAATCGAACTTGAGTCGAGGTAGAGTCCTATATCCCGCCAGCGCTCTGGGCGACAGGCGGTCTAACGAGATCTGTCTTTCCTCTTTCCCCTTCCAAAAGAATCCCTCTTCCCCTTCGGGGATGGTTTTATCACTGTTTTTATTCATATACACCCCCTCCACCGGGCGACCGGCGTCCAACCAGGAACCATGAGGACACCATGACGACCCGCCTCCCACCATCCCTGCCAAAAAATTATGCTAACGGAGTTCCCCACATAAAGAGATTAACGGTTTCGTGGGACCCATTTTCTTGATGCCCTCCTCGCTTTGGCGGGGCCCCGCTGGAAGGGGGGAAGGCTACGAAACCTGGCGAAGAGTAATGCTTTCCGCGACCCTCCTCGTTCAAGCGCGGCCTCTCTGGAGGAGTGGAGGGGGGACACGAAAACCAAGTAAATAGTATGGTTTTCGGATACCCTCCTCGCTCAGGCGGGGCCTCCCTGGAGGGGTGGGAGGGGCACGAAACCATGTAAATAGTATGGTTTTCCGATACCCTCCTCGCTCAGGCGGGGCCTCCCTGCAGGGGTGGGAGGGGCACGAAACCATGTAAATAGTATGGTTTTCGGATACCCTCCTCGCTCAGGCGGGGCCTCCCTGGAGGGTGGGAGGGGCACGAAACCATGAAAAGTAAACGGATACCCTCCTCGCTCAGGCGGGGCCTCCCTGGAGAGGTGGGAGGGGCACGAAACCATGTAAATAGTATGGTTTTCGGATACCCTCCTCGCTCAGGCGGGGCCTCCCTGGAGGTGTGGGAGGGGCACGAAACCATGTAAATAGTATGGTTTTGCCTCCCTGGAGAGGTGGGATGGGGCACGAAACCATGTAAATAGTATGGTTTTCGGATACCCTCCTCGCTCAGGCGGGGCCTCCCTGGAGGGGTGGGAGGGGCACGAAACCATGTAAATAGTATGGTTTTCCGATACCCTCCTCGCTCAGGCGGGGCCTCCCTGGAGGGGTGGGAGGGGCACGAAACCATGTAAATAGTATGGTTTTCGGATACCCTCCTCGCTCAGGCGGGGCCTCCCTGGAGGGGTGGGAGGGGCACGAAACCATGTAAATAGTATGGTTTTCGGATACCCTCCTCGCTCAGGCGGGGCCTCCCTGGAGGGGTGGGAGGGGCACGAAACCATGTAAATAGTATGGTTTTCGGATACCCTCCTCGCTCAGGCGGGGCCTCCCTGGAGGGTGGGAGGGGCACGAAACCATGTAAATAGTATGGTTTTCCGATACCCTCCTCGCTCAGGCGGGGCCTCCCTGGAGGGTGGGAGGGGCACGAAACCATGTAAATAGTATGGTTTTCGGATACCCTCCTCGCTCAGGCGGGGCCTCCCTGCAGGGGTGGGAGGGGCACGAAACCATGTAAATAGTATGGTTTTCGGATACCCTCCTCGCTCAGGCGGGGCCTCCCTGGAGAGGTGGGAGGGGCACGAAACCATGTAAATAGTATGGTTTTCGGATACCCTCCTCGCTCAGGCGGGGCCTCCCTGGAGGTGTGGGAGGGGCACGAAACCATGTAAATAGTATGGTTTTCCGATACCCTCCTCGCTCAGGCGGGGCCTCCCTGGAGGGGTGGGAGGGGCACGAAACCATGTAAATAGTATGGTTTTCGGATACCCTCCTCGCTCAGGCGGGGCCTCCCTGGAGGGGTGGGAGGGGCACGAAACCATGTAAATAGTATGGTTTTCCGATACCCTCCTCGCTCAGGCGGGGCCTCCCTGGAGGGGTGGGAGGGGCACGAAACCATGTAAATAGTATGGTTTTCCGATACCCTCCTCGCTCAGGCGGGGCCTCCCTGGAGGGGTGGGAGGGGCACGAAACCATGTAAATAGTATGGTTTCCGATACCCTCCTCGCTCAGGCGGGGCCTCCCTGGAGGGGTGGGAGGGGCACGAAACCATGTAAGTAGTATGGTTTTCGGTATGGAGTGGTATGGAATGGTATGGTAGGTATGGTATGGTACGGTATGGTATGATATGGTATGGTACTGGAGGTATGGTATGGTATGGTACGGTGTGGCATTGGTGTGATATGGTATGGTATGCTATGGTACGCCATGGTATGGTATGGTACGGTATGGTACGTATGGTGTGGTATGGTATGGTATGGTATGGTATGGTATGGTATGTGTGGTAGGAACTATGGTATGGAAGATGGAGCGGGAGGTGGGTGGGAAGGAGAGGGTGTTCTGGGAAAACAAGAACCCCACTCAGGATGTGGGGAAATACAAGATGCACATCGCGGCTAAATCTGGATCATGCGCAGCCATCCCGCGATCACTGTCACATGGTTTTTGACAGGGACCGCGGGGGTGGTGGCGCGTGGCCTGCTGTGCGCAAGCCCACCAGACGCAATGATGGGCATTGGTTTTCGACACGGATGGTGGGTGCCGACATGTTTCCCGATGTGTGCTGTCACGTGCGCAGGCGCACCTGACGCACTCTACACGTGCCCCGAACGTGGCGCACCTGGAGCGGCTGGAGTGTGCAGCACACCTGGCGCACTCGGAGCACGTGGCGCATTTGGCGCACCAGGCTTGCCTGGCACGTTCGGGCCACAGGGGTGCCTGGCGCGCGTGGCGCCCCTGGCACGCGAGGCGCACCTTGCCCAAGCGTCGCGCACCTGGGGTCGGCTTTGGCTCCCAGTAGCTGTCCATCCAAAGACGACCGCTGAACATGCTCAGGCTCGGGTGTTACTTATGTGTTGTGAGGGCGGGTGGGAGTGAGCTAGACGGCTTGCGGGCGGGTGGGTAGCTTGACCCCTCCCCCTACCCCTCCCCTGGACCTGGACGGGGGGGGTCGCGCGGTCAGGGCGTCCAAGATGGACCAAGATGGCTCCAAGAAGGCCTCCGAGAGCCCAAGATGGCCTCCAAGATCGCTCAAGATAGTCCAACATGGATTAAGATAGCTAACAATATGCCTCCGAGAGGCCCCAAGAAGGCCACAAGACGGATCCAAGTGCTTTTGGAGAACCCTCAGGACCTCCCCGAGAAGCCAAAATCCTTCAAACACCTTGGGAAACCAATGATTTTGGCATTCTCGCCTTCTCGCTTCCGTTGAGCTTGTGAGGCCTCAAGATGGCCACAAGATGGCTCAAGAGAGCTCCAAAAAGGGCCCAAGAAAGACGGCCCAAAGAGCGCCCAAGATCGCCCCCAGAAGGCCCCAAGAGCGCCCCAAGAGGCTATTTCGATGGCCCCGGAGAGGAGGCCAAACGTTCGGACCCCCCCTCCTGTTATCGATGGCCTCCAAGATGGCCCCAAGAGGCTCTCCGAAGCTCCCAGGAGAGCCCAAATAGAGCCCCAAGAAAACCCAAGAGGGGCCCCAAGACGGCCCCCAAACGCCCCAAAAGAGCCCCAAGAGGACCCCAAGACCCCCCAATTGAGACCCAAGATGCCCCCAAAGAGCCCCAATAGGACCCTAAGACGTCCCCCAAAAAGCCCCATAGCTCCAAGAAGGCATCCGATGCTCCAAGATAGCCTCCAAGATGGCTCAACACGTTCCTCCACCTCCTCTCTTTGACCGCGCTGTTTCACAAAATGCGTCTCTGCTTTCCATCTCCCACCAGCTCTCGTGGGCAGGGCTTCTGAATGGGCTGGCGGGGATTCGCGAAGCGTAAACACTCTGAAGTAAGAACGGAAAAGGTCCGCTGGGTGGCGCCAATGAAAGTCCCCCGAAACAAACAGCGAAGCGGAGACATCGGCATCATCTCTTCCTCTAAGCTCAAGACGTGGAACCCGAGCCGAGGAGCAGCGTGCGAATCGGACTGGGAACCGGCTAGCCTGAGGGGGAACGTCAGGGTGGGAGACCTGGAACGGCGATACATTGCCGATTGATCTGCGGGTGGCCCCCGATAGCGAACCCGAACGCACGTTCCTGGGCGGAGGGGGCTATCAGGTCACTATCGGCGATCAGTGGGCGATAGGGGGTCGATGCATCCCCGCCTGAGCCAATCACCCCCCTGTCGTTGGCTTTCGGTTCACAACTCGGGTCTCAGGCGCCATGCCGGGACGATCCGGGCAGCCTTCAGAGCGCTCTCGGCGAGGCACGGCAGCTGGAAGGCATCATCCCGAGGCTGGAAGGCACGAGAATCGACGAAAACGTCGAAAAGCTTGGAACCTCGAACTTCGAAGCTTCGGCCCCGCCCCCGAGCCTGTGCCCCCCCAACATTGACCCAGACAGCCGCTCTGCCTTGTTAGAGGCCTCCTAGATGGAGTCCGAGTAGATGGGGTCGGAAGATCGTGCCGCTTCGCCGATGAATCGGCGAAATCGGCGATGCATCGGCGCCATCGGCACGGGGAAATTCTGGCTCCACATCGAGCCGCATCGTCGATGCATCGGCGATGCGGCGCTGTCCTCCGACCCCGTCTGCTCGGACCCCATCTCGGCGCTATCCTCCGACCCCGTCTGCTCGGACCCCATCTCGGCGATGCGGCGTTACCCCCCGACCCCCTCTGATTACTCGGACCCCGTCTTGGCGATGCGGCGCTACCCTCCGACCCCCCCAGCTACTCGGACTCCTGCTGGGAGGCCTGGACCTACAGTCAGCCCGTATAGCAAGGATGCGCGATGGGGATGCGAGGGCCTTGGAAGGCCACTCCGCCGCTTTCCGAGCGGGGCGGCAGCCAACAGAAGCGGCCAAGGATGGACCGAGGAGGCAAGGATGCAAGTGCACCCTTGGGAAGGTTGCCCATCTTTACCATGCGGTTGGTCTGTACCTTAGTGGGCCCCGGAAACGGCAGGGCGGTTTTTCACAGTTTCCGAAAAAGTGTCCCTTGAAAATGGAAACGGCAAAAAAGCGGCGACCGGAAACGGCAACAAAAACGGCTCCAGGAGCGGAACCAGAGCAGGAACCCGTAACAAAAACGGCGACGGAACAGGCAAGAAAACGGCGTCGGAACCGGCCACAAAAAAGGCAAAACGGAACCGGTAACAAAAACGGCCCCGTCGTTTTCAGGGCCCACGAAGGTCTGTACCCCGCGGCCGGCCGCTCCGGCGCCAGGGCGCCGATCCTGCGCGAAGGGCAGCCGCTCCGCGTCGCCCATCGCCGGCGCGGCGCCTGCAGGCCGCGCCCCGAGCGGAGGCGCGCCCGCCGAGGCGCCCCCCGGCCGCGGCCCGAGGCTCCCGGAACTCGGAGCTGCGCGGCGGCGGGCGGGGGCTCCCCTCTCATGCGATCCCCTAGGTATCCCCTCCCTCCTCCTCCTCCTCCTCCTCCTCCTCCTCCTCCTCCTCCTCCTCCTCCTCCTCCTCCTCCTCCTCCTCCTCCTCCTCCTCCTCCTCCTTCCTCTTCCTCCTCCTCCTCCTTCCTACTCCTCCTCCTCCACCTCCTCCTCCTCCTTCCTCTCGCCCTCCCCTCCTCCTCCTTCCTACTCCTCCTCCTCCGCCCTCCTCCTCCTCCTCCTTCTCCTCCGCCCTCCCCCTCCTTCTCCTCCGCCCTCCTCCTCCTCCGCCCTCCTCCTCCTCCTCCTCCTCCTCGTCCTCAGTCGCCTCGTCCTGCTACTTCTCCCTTCCCCTCTGTGCCTCCTTCCTCCCCCCCTCCTCCTCTCGCTCTTCGCTCTTCCCTGCTCACCCCCCTCCATCCCTCACTCCCCACCCTTTGCGCCCCTCCTTCCTCCTCGCTGCATGCTCTCTTGCTTGCCTCCCCTCGCCATCTTTCGCTCCTCCTGGGGGGCACCAAAAAGTGCCCCGATACCGCCACTCCCAAGACCTCTCCAGGGGTGCGTTCTGGCCAGAACTTCGGGGGCGAGTCCGGTCGTGGCGACGAGGGCCTCCGAGGAGGCCCACAACGGCGAAGACGAGGGAAGGGCAGCGATATGTGCACCTCTTCCTCCTCTGACCTCCTCCCTCCTCCGTCTCCTCCATCTCCCCCCCCTCCTCCTCCTCCCTCCTCCTCCCACCTCTTCCTCCTCCTCCTCCCACCTCTTCCTCCTCCTCCTCCTCCTCCTCCTCCTCCTCCTCCTCCTCCTCCTCCTCCTCCTCCTCCTCCTCCTCCTCCTCCTCCTCCTCCCCCCCCCCCTCAGGGCCGCGCCCTGGTCGGCAGGGGGGCGCCTCCGTGGGCCCCCCTCTGCCCCGCCGTCGCCCAGGGGAGGCGCGGCCCCAGCCTCTCTGCGCTCGGGGGTTCGGCCGGGTGGTGGCCCGAGTGGAGGGGGCCCAGGGGCACGCCAGGAAGCAGACGCAGATCTCGAGTAGGGGATCGACTGCAGAATGGAGTCACCCCCGAAGCAGCCTTGGCGTCGAGTCTATGGTCGAATGCGTGGGATTGTCGCTGATCTGCAGAAGGTTTACGCCTTTCCCATGGAGTCAACAATAACATTGATTTTGGGGTACATCGATTATGTAGTCGATCCCTTACTCGAACATCCCCGGATTCCCCGTATGCTCCATAGTTCCTGGATGTTCGTCTCCCCCTCCACCTGCCGTGTTTTCCACAATTTCCTGGGGAATCGACATTTGTGTATACGTGTATGTGTGCATGCGTGTATGTGCATGTGTGTATGTGTATGTGTTTACATGTATGTGAATGTGAGCGTGTACGTGTATGTGAATGTGACTATGAGTGTGGATGTGTATGTGTATGTGTGAATGTGTATGTGTACGTGTTTGTAAAGGTATATGTGTATGTGTGCGTGTGCGTGCTTGTGTATGTGTATGTGTATGTGTATGTGTATGTGCATGTGCATGTGCATGTGCATGTGCATGTGCACGTGCAGGTGCAGGTGCAGGTGCAGGTGCATGTGTGCATGTGCATGTTCATGTGCGCGTGTGCGAGTGCGTGTATGCACGTGCGCGTGCGCGTGCGCGTGTGCGTGCGCGTGCGCGTGCGCGTGCGCGTGAACGTGCGCGTGTGCGTGCGCGTGCGCGTGCGCGTGCGCGTGCGCGTGCGCGTGCGTGTGCGCATGCGCGTGCGCGTGCGCGTGCGCGTCCGCGTGCGCGTGCGCGTGGGCGCGTGGGCGCGTGGGCGCATGGGCGTGTGCGTGTGCGCGTACGCATACACGTACGCGCGCGTGCGCGTGCGCGTGCGCGTGCGCGTGCGTGTGCGTGTGCGTGTGCGTGTGCGTGTGCGTGTGTGTGTGTGTCGGTGTGTCGGTGTGTCGGTGTGTCTGTGTGTCTGTGTGTCTGTCTGTCTGTCTGTCTGTGTGTCTGTGTGTCTGTGTGTCTGTGTGTTTGTGTGTTTGTGTGTGCGTGCGTGCGTGCGTGTGTGTGTGTGGTGTGTGTGTCTCGTCCATCCTGAGGGTGGTGGCGCAAAAAAGGGATCCCCGTGAGGTCGCCTGGCGCCACCCGTCCCAGCGACACGTTCGAGCACGCACATCGCAAAGCCCAGACGTCCGGCGCCTCGGTTGTTTTCGAGGCACGGGCCCCCGACCACTCGACCACTTCCCTGGGACCAGTTTCTCATCCGGAGACGTTTGTCGACGGTCCCGAGGCGCGATAAAGCGACCCTGGAGGCCGAAAACTATGAAACGCCTGCGCCCGAAGCCCGAGAAGGTCGACAAGTACGAAAAACTACGAAAAAGATGAAAGCCTCGAGACGCCCGATGCCTGATCACGACGGGAGGCCTTTCGCTACTTGCTGAGACTGAGACGAGGCCAGGACGAAGACAAAACCGGGTGAGGATACCTCGAGCATCTCCGAGGTCTGGCGAAATTGGAAAGATGTGTCGAGCGCCGCGGCCTGCTCAGAGCGTGCCGGAACGTGTGTGGGAGAAACACACACACAAACACACACACACACACATAAAAAAAAACAACACACCCACACACGTGTGTTGTTTTTGTTCCCACAGTGTTTCTTTGGTGGTTATGTTTTCCCCACGTGTGTGTGGTTTTCCCACGTGTGCTGCTTTTGCTTCCCAACGTGCGTGTGTTTTTTTCCCACACTGTGTTTTGTTGTGTGGTCTTCTTTTCCCACAGCGTGTGTTTTTTTCCCCCACACACGTGGTGTTTTTTTGTTTTGTGTGTATGCTTTTTTCCCCCACAGTCTTTGTGTGTGTGTGTTTTCCAACTGAGAGCGTTCTGAGAGCGGATGTGTCCTCGTGTTTTGTGTGTGTGTGTGTCTGTGTGTGTCTGTGTGTGTCTGTGTGTGTCTGTGTGTCTGTGTGTCTGTGTGTCTGTGTGTGTGTCTGTGTGTGTGTCTGTGTGTGTGTGTCTGTGTGTGTGTGTCTGTGTGTGTGTGTCTGTGTGTGTCTGTGTGTCTCTGTGTGTCTCTGTGTGTCTCTGTGTGTGTCTCTGTGTGTGTCTCTGTGTGTCTGTGTGTCTGTGTGTCTGTGTGTCTGTGTGTCTGTGTGTCTGTGTGTCTGTGTGTTTGTGTGTCCGTGTGTCCGTGTGTCCGTGTGTCTGTGTGTCTGTGTGTCTGTGTGTCTGTGTGTCTGTGTGTCTGTGTGTCTGTGTGTCTGTGTGTCTGTGTGTCTGTGTGTCTGTGTGTCTGTGCGTGTGTCTGTGTGTCTGTGTGTCTGTGTGTCTGTGTGTCTGTGTGTCTGTGTGTCTGTATGTCTGTGAGTGTGTCGCTCGTCAAGGGACCGCGTCCGTGATCGAACACAGCCCTGTTCATGTGACAGGCCACTAGGGCCGAGGGCTCTCGGGGCCTCTCAAGGCCACAGAGCACAGTGCACGGTCCCCAGACCGCGAGCAAGGGCAGGCCGAGCCTGCGGGGCAACTCTACAAACCCAAAAGATCCAGAGTACCAGAACGGTACACGGACCGTGGCAAGAGGGCAGGCACATCCTGCAGGGCCTCCCGAGGCTAGACAAACCTGGGGCCTAGCCCCGACCAGGTGCGAGGGGGCCCCCGTCACTGGGTGGAGCTTCGCCACATGGCGGTCACGGCGCTTGGCCCGTTCCCGCTCCGCGGGGGCGACGCAACGGTCGGGGGCGGGGAGGATGCCAGCGCAAGGGGCCCCCAAGAGCCGCCCTTGTCGCTTGGCATACGCTCCGCACCGCCTGCACACCGTAAAAGGAGGCCTCTGGAGGATCTCATGGCCGAGCGCCTCCGGGACTTCCTCCGTAACGGGACGCATCGTACGAGTTGGCATCGCACGATCCCTCGCCCTCCCATCCTCCTTCTCCTCCAGAGGGGGCTTCCAACAATCCTCCCGAGGGGAGTGCAGGAGGGGGGGGCGCAGCAGGAGAGGCAGGAGCAGCAGGTGCGCCACCTGCAGCTCTGAGGAGGCGAGCCGTGAGTGCTGCCCGTCGCTCCTCACGCGAGTCCGGCCTCCCGCTCCCCGACGACAACGAAGACGGACTTCCCCCGCCTCCAGAGCCAGCAGCAGGACTAGCACACGCCTCGCGTCGAGGAGACCTGCTCTCTTCGCGCCCTCGCTCAAGATGGCCTTGCGAGGCGCTCGGGTCTTCGCACCTCGCCGTCGCAGCAACGGCCACCGCGGTCGCCAGACCCAGGGCCAGGGCCGATGGAGCGGAGGGGGGAGCGGGACTCTCCTGGGCTTTGGGCGGGCTGTGCATCGCCAAAAGGGCCGCAGCTCGAGCGCGGAGCAGGGCGGAAGGCCGACAGGGGCGGGTCAGCAGACCTCGGATCGTCTCTTCCGAAAAACCCGCACGATTACAATTCCTGCATCGGAAGCCCTGTCCATCAGGCGCCAGCTCATGGGAAACAATAGCAAGGCTGGGCGGCTTCGGCGGGGGCTTTCGGGCACGGGGCTCGTCCTTGGGGCCGCCCCACCGACCCGAGCTGAGCACTCTCTTGCCCGCCCAGGCCACAAACCTAGCACGGCTCACAGCTTTGGCGAGGCGCAGCTCAAGGCGTTGCCCGAAATTGGGGGCTGACCGTGACAACGCGCAACGCAACAGTGGCAAAGGAATCCGCCCACGCGTTTCCCGCCCAAGCCATCGCCCTAACTCCCCGACCAAGCGCTTCCTCGGCCGCCCAGTGCGAAGGGGTCCAGGCAAAGCGGGGCGGGGGGCGGGCCTGCCTCTCGACTGTAGCTCTTATGGCACGCCAAATCTCCGCATGTCGAGCAGCGGCCGACGCCTTAACCTCACTCCACCTCTCACCCTCTTGGACCAACGACAGGTGATCGCTTGCAATTCTAGTTACACTCGGCGCGGCAAGCACAGCCTGATAGGCAGCATGCCTGGCTGCTCTGGGCACTGCCTGGCCCCTGGGAGGCTTCCAAACCTGGCCTTGGA